TTCAGGGTTTAGAGCTTAGGATTCAGGGTTCAGGGTTCTGGGTAACGTTCAGGCTTCATGGGATCTGAGTTTAGGGTTCAGGGCTAAGGGCCTTGAGCCCTGCAGTCTAAGCTCCACAAGGCTTTGAGCTTACACCCTAAACTCTAACCCCAGGCATTGAAGTGTTTCTTCTCAATGGTGCAAGATTTCCTCCAGCTGCAGTAGGGTTCAACCATGAATGTTTCGAGCTCGAGGAGGGCCTCGGTGAAGTATAGGGATAATGGAAAAGAAAATGGAAACTAGAGGGACTATAGGGCTTATATAGGGGGTTTTATAGGGATTAGAGGGGTTTAACATGGGGATATATTGGGATAATGGAAAAGAAAATGGAAACCATATAGTATATTGGGGCTATATGGGAATAATTGAAAATAAAATGGAAACTACTGTAGTTTGTGCTAACATAACTAGGTTTACGACCCAAAGACCATATGACTCATAACCTAAACTCCTAGTATCCTCCTTACTAAGCCCTATAAGAGTGCCCTATATAGTCCCCCTTATAACCCCTTTATGAGGCTTGGACTATAGCTCATATATTCTCAACGCCCACCGGTCAGGCATGATCCTGCTGTGCGCGATCTCTTATCTCTGGCATGCATTCGTGGAGGAGTCAGCGGCGCGGCAAAAATTTGCTGGCAAGATATGAGCCAGAATCTAAACTCCTCAAAAGGGGGTTATATAAGGGAGTACTATAGGGCTTATTAAGGGGGGTACTAGGAGTTTAGACTATAACCGACTATAGCTCTAACATAATAATCTTGTAGTAGAGCGAACTATGAGCCGTTAATTGGGTTTGTAGGGGTGATCGGGCAAATAATAGGTATGTAAGGACCCTAGAATTAAAGGTCCATGCAAGGGGCCCATACTTGGACCTACTATTTTCATGTGTTTTTGGCCGATTCATCACTTCAAGATCAATTTTCTGGGGAGTTTTCTTGTGAAGTATCCCTTCACCCGTAAACCATCAACCCCAGCTACATGCCAAGCTCCAGACCCTAAACCCGAACCCCAAACCAATCTCTAAACCCCAAACTCCAAATTCGCAACCCTAGGCCCTAGGCCCCACGTGAGCTACAGTCTTACCTCCTAGTATCCCCCTCAATATCCGCTATAGTAGTTCCCTTTATAATCCCCTATATACCCCCCTTTAAGGAGGCTAGACTATAACTCAAAAGCCGAGATGAACTTGGGGTTGCCACTGTAGATTATTTCCATTGTTCTGCGCAATGGCCCCTCTTTCAACCCCCTTTAAGGAGTTTAGACTATGGCTCAAGTAGTCTAAGGAGCCCGACAACCAATACGTCAACTCCGTAACCATCCTCGACGGCCACGACAACACATTCAACGAGGTCAAGGGTAAGGGTTGTAGGGTTTAGGGTAAGGGTTTCGAGGATTCATAGGGATCTATAAGGGTTCAGGGTTTTTTTAGGGTTGAGGATTCATAGGGATGCATAAGGGTTTACGTGTTTGGGGTTGAGGATTCATGGAGATGTACGAGGGTTTAGTTCAGGATTTGGGGGTTAGGATCTGGGGTTTAGGATTTAGGAGTTTTCCGGCTTAGGGTACAGGCGTAGAGTTCGGGGCTTAAGGTTTATGGTATCTGGGTTTAGGGTTCAGGTTTATTAGATCGCCTTGGGGTCCAAGCTTGAGGGTTGAGGGCTCATGCCTTCAGAGCTCAGGTGTAGGAATTGGGATCCGGGGTACAGGGTCTAAGGTGTAGAGTTCAGGCTTTTGTCAGCATTCTTGTGCCGGGTGTGGGGTTGAGGTTAGGGGGTAGTCGTGTTCGTACTTCGCACTCGCATGAGGGTGCCTGTCACTATACTTCTTCTTGTGGGTGAACTGGTTCCGGCTAATTACATTTTAGGTTATGAGGCTTAGGGTAGACCCCCGATCAATAACCGCCCTCCTTTTAAGGAGCTTAATATTAGGATACCTACTACTATAATCCGTATTAAGGGGAGGGGGGTTTGTTACTCAGGGGTCTCTGAATTGACGTCCCTCGCTAGGTGTCCTTCTATGGCAGGAAGCCCACCTGAGCGGTATTCTCCGGAGCAGTGCCCGAAACCCTAAACCCAAGCCCTAAACATTGAACCCATAGGGGATTATGTCGGGGACTATTCTAGAGGTTACTAAAGGGGATACTAGGACTTTAGATCCTAAACCCTATCAGTACTCCATGGGTGTACTACTTGGGTCTCCTTTAGCTATTCTGCTGTGCGTTCTTGACCTGACCACATTCTTCGTGAGGCTAAAAGAGGCTGGAACATGTACGCAGGAGGGTTTAGGAGGTAGGGTGTAGGGCATAACCCAATTATAACTGGTGCAGATATTTGGGTAACATGTTCAGATATACTCGGTTGTAATTTAAGTGAGCCTCCACGTAGTGGATTGTCAGGGACTTACCAGGGCTCTAAGCGTTTTGTGCGGGCTCTGTTGGTGAGATGCTAGATCTTTCCCCCTACAGTAAGTGTTACCGCAACAAAGTAATAGGAATTATAATAGAACCTTTATGAAGCCCCTACAGCTGTATGGGGGGGGGACCCAAGTAAGATGTCCTCATGGGCCTCATCACCCCTAAATAACCAAGTCTCCATGATGAGGGCAGCAAAACGAGCCCTGTTTCTTGCAAACCCCTGGACCCTAGTTCCTTACAGAATCCAATTTCCCCCGAACCTGCAGAAACAACATTTTGCTAAACCCCATGCTGAAGCAGGACTACCACGTCGTGCACCATCACTCCCCGTCGACGCACTGGACGGATGCGCCCGCCCATTTCGAGGCTCACAAGGATAAGCAACTTGGTGTCATGAGGAGTGCAGGGCCTTGAATAAAGCACTGTTCGAAGACCCAAAGATTCGGATCCCATTTGAAGGAAGAAGGTTTCTTAATCGGGGTTCTACAGATTAGGTTGGAGCCTTTGTCAGTTGGTTTTTGGATTTGTTGCAAGAGCGGCTGGGAATTTCACGGAACCCACAGAATTTTCCTTTTTCCCTTACTTTGGTTGGCACTTGACGGGGCTCCACTTTCATACCCAGATAGCCCTTGCTTCTTGTAGATCCCCCGAAGAAGGGCACCCCGAAGCCTACACTCTGACTCAGGTCTGCTTAGGCCGTATATCCACCATCATCCAGAGTGCCTGGTCCGGGAGCTTCCCGATCCTCCCAAGATGCCTGTTGAGTGCTTTCTGAAAGGCATACCGCCTCGCAGCCTGAAAGGGGTCAGAGAGCCTGGAAGTCCGCAGCAAACCCGCGCACAGGGAGTCGTGTGTAAGCCTTCGGCCCGCTGCCACACACCTTCGCGATGTTTTTTTCTCAAGGGTGCCGCAAGCAGCCGCCCGTCCTTCAAACTTCAGGCACATTCCCTCCAAAAGGTGTCCCCTCAAAGCTTCCAAGCCAAACCATCGGCCGCGCAGGCAGCCCATATAGTCAAAACTTTAGGCTTGTGGTCGGGAGAATGTGAAACCAAAGCTGAGGCGAGAGATGTTTTCTGGAATGGGATTTTGTGGCGGAAGCCCGCAACCAGAGAGGAATATTTGTATTAGGGTTGGCGCGTGTTTGAAGCAGAGGGTGGGATCAGTGAAGCAACACAGCGATTCTGGTTGTTCTGCTGTACTGGGTAGGCCCCTGGGATATTTGATATTTTCCCTGATGGCTTTAGTAAGGACCCTATATACTGGTTTTAGGGGCCAACCCCGTGTATGCCGCTCCACGAACCCTTGTTCGTGTGTTGGGGTGGCATGTCTACGACACTTCCAGCTGCTGCACGGCAAGACGCCCCAGACCCTAAACCCTAAACCCCCATATCGGCACCCCTAAACCCTAAACCCTAAACTTGGTTTACAAGCCCCCTTCCCTAAAACCTTGGCTCTCAGATAGGGAGTAGTCACCGATACAGGTGGAGATTGCATTCTCCTCTTGGTTATTGTAATTTCTTAGTCCAGCCACCAAACAAGGCACATCTTCATTGATTTTGGTAGGAAGTTGGTGTGGAATGTTGAGTGTTGGCTTTCTTACCAAACCTCAGCCTCAATATTGTTGCGTTCACGAGACTCTGCAACACGCACCGCACGGGGTACCAGGTTGCGTACTAACACCACGGAGGTTTTCATGAAACAAGAACAGCTTTCAATACCCATGTTTCAATTCCTCTGGCAATTCGGGTCCTCGCATAAGTTTCCCACATGTTGGGAGAAGAAAACTCTTAAGCCCTAAACGCAAAATCTGTTTGAACCCTAAACCCTAAGCAGCGCAGGGGAAGCTGAGATCAAGCTTAAAATCTTGAAAGCCCAAAGCGTCCTGAGCGGTGGGACCCAGCAGCCAAGAAGGGTTAACGTGGACGTTTAAGGATTAGGGTTTAGGGTAAGGCTGATGAACCAAAAATCCTGCATAACCCCAAATATCCCCTTGACAGTGAATAATAGGACCCCAGAATTCCCGATAAATGCATAAAAAGCTCTACATGATTTCGCCTATGTATGTTCTACTACCTCTGCTCCGGGTGTGGGTGGAGGACACCTTTGGAAAGTAGGCTTAGGATTTACGACCCTGAACGTTGCAAGGGAGCGCTTTGTAATGTGGGATTCTGGAGTTACTAGCTGTTTATTAGTATGATGTGAAACGGAAATTTCCACAATCATCTTCTGCATATTCCTGAATGTGCACTTCCCTAACCCCAAGATCCCCCAAAGTTGCGGACACACAAGGAGAGACGACAGGATCTGGAATTTCAATCATTTTAGCAATATTTCAGTAAACATGGGGTTGTTCAAGGTTGAGTGCTCCCCCCAATAAATGATGTGAAAACCCATATAGGCCGCTTTTGACTGGAGATAAGTTTCTGTTGCGCTCCTGTTGGATTCCATGTTAGAGCAAATTAGGACATAGGGTGCACGTTGAAACCGTTTTTGGGGTTGGTGTTTTTCATGTTGTATGTTCAAGGATGGCTACCCTAAACTCTATACCCTGGAATGCCAAAGATTGCTCAACACAGTCCGAAATCCAAAAGCCTCTAAACCCTAAACCCCAAACCCGAAACCCTAAACCCTAAACAATCCAAAAGCCTTTAAAATTATCCTGTTGGGAGTTGAAGTGTTCTTCTGCAACTGGTCCCTCCACGGTTTAGGGTTTAGTGTTTACGGACTGCCAAATGAGTAGTATTTTATTTGGGGATACTATGGTACCCAATATAGAGTAAGATTCTAACCTCCTTTTGGGGTATAGTATTTTATATAAGGAATATTCTCTTACTAGGTTCAACAACCAAAAAAAACGCTACTCAAATGGTTGAAGGCTAGGAGCGCATTTAGGCATTATATAGGGAGTATATCATCATTATAACCCCAAAAATGGAGAATGTAACAGAAAATAGCAAATGGAAGATAATATGGAAACGGCTATTTCGGTGTTGTGCATAACAACCAGCACAAGGTATGCCGCCTGCACCGCGACGATTTTCCGTGACACCGACGCTCTTAATGAACTACAGAATAACCCCCGCCCCCTAAAACTCCCCCCTCCCAGTCCCAATAGTACATGTACCCCAACTTTAAACCCCAACCCTAAACCTTGGGTACTGCCCCCCCGCCCCCAGTAACAGTCTATGTTAGCGGCCCTATTAAGGGCTATATATAACCATATTATATTTATGATTCAACAGTTAGTGAGGGGGGGCAGTACCCAACCTAAACCCTAAACCCTAGGGACTATATGGGGTGTGAGAAACGTTCTTATTCCTCAGCTTTTGCAAACCTTAGACTTGGGTTCGGCCTCGTACTGGTGGTGCAATAGGAATGTATGGGAGTTTCCCAAAATTTGGGGTGCTTTTCTTGGGGGGTCCCTAGAATCAGGATTATGAAATTGGGATTTTCCCGAAAGTTGGGGTGCATTTTTTGGGATCCCTATAACTAGGATTTTAAGATATTGGGATTTATATATACATTCGGCCCCCCGTATTGAGGGAAACTACTATATAAGAACCCTAGGACAGTTATCATTATCCCTTGTAGTCACTATTGGTAGGTGGGTGGGCGGGTTGCTGGGTGGGTGGTGGCCCTAACAAAGTCTAGCTTCAAAATCCAGACTTGCAACTTTGGAGTGTGGATCTTGCCTAAACACTGAAAGGTATTTCCAGAAATAGGGGGACCAGAGTGCAGATCCTTTATCCGATAATCCGTAGTATGTGGACTCCCAAAAAAGGGCCCCTAGTTGCTGGAAGCGCTGAAACCAAAGCAACCTTTTGCGGGGGCTCCTAAACTGAAAACCTTGTGCCCGGAGCTTTGCACCCAAACCTCCTAGCCGCAGACTTGGCGCGGTTTAAGGGTCTTGGGTTCAAGGTTAAGGGCGTAGTTGATGGTTTAGGGACTGTAGGGCTTAATTTTGCAGTGTAGGGATCAGGACTTGTAGTATTGTCCTTGGCAGTGGACGCCCCCTCCCCCCCCAAAAAAAAGTCAGATGGCTGAGTAGACATCCTTGAAACCTTGTCTATTATTCCGTAAAGGTCAAGGCGTCCAAACCTGGTCAAGGACTCTGAACTGCACACTAGGTTCAGAATACTTACGTCCTTGCACACTCAGGGTTTTTGGTTTAGGGTGCCCACAGCTGGATCAGAAGTTTGGGGCTTTCGTTTTGCCGGCGCGCAACCCCACATCCAAGTCCAACATGCAAAGCCTTAAATCTTAACCTATCCCAGAGTTCCGTAACTCCGATAGTCCTACTTGATAGTTTCTACATGCAAGTCCACAAGCCAAAGTCTCTGTTCTTTCATCCTGAAGATGGTTTTCGCCCCCAAAGTCCTTTTCAAAACTTAAACTCAAACGCTAAAGTTCCAATCGTTTGCCTGCGAGACAGCGGAACCCTATGAAGAGCACAGTCGGGATGTTACAGGGCATGTGGGGGCTATAATACGGAGTTTACAGGCGCTATATCGGGTTTTATAAGTGTCAGACAGCTGAATTCCATGAAGCGATCCATGAAGACCTCAGTCCAGTTCGAGAAACTCAAGACTGGCTAGGCCCCTGGGGGATTTAATGTTTTCCCTAATGGCGTCAATAAGGGACTTTATATGAGCCTAAATCTAAACTCCTTAAAGGGGGTTATACAGGAGATTATATAGGGGACTACTAAAGGGGTTGTCAAGGGGGATACTAGAAGTTTAGACCATAGCTCATATAGCCTCCTTTTAGACTGTAGTCTTTAACTTAAGACTGGGTAGGCCCCTGGGATATTTGACATTTTTCCTACTGGCTTTAATAAGGGACCCTATATACTACCTAACTCCCTAAAAATATTTAAAAAATAGCCCTAAACCCATAATAATAGCCATAAAGGCCATTATTTTACATGCCTTTGGGGTCCAGGTAACATTTTTCAAAGGGTTTTAGGTGCCAACCCAGAAGAGCAGCAAAGTCTAAGGGCTTTTGGAGGGACCCCTAATAGGGACCCTTGTAGCTTATGGGGGTTAATATGGGGACTACCTTGGGATATAGGGGTTATATATTGACTATATAAGGGTTATATATGGTAATAGGATTAAGGGTCCCTATTAGGG